TGTCCCCATTACTTTTTTTAATTATTTTTTCCCCATTACTTCATATCAACCAAACGTTGGGCAAAACAATCATGTCTTACTTATTTGAGGTTCATTGTGCTTGAAGGAGCGACAAGATGCGGACCTCATAGAGGTTTTTGTATACTTGTTTGACATTTAAAAAAAAAATAAAAATTATATACTAGACATTCATTCTTGTACAATTTAACTTAGCTTATATATTGTAGCAGGCCCCAAACTTGAATAAAGGATAAAGTTTTTACAACTTTATAATTCTTTTCATAAAATAAAATTTTAGTTTTATTCTTTCCATATGAATTTATGCCCCTATTTGGCCCCAATTTTATGGAAATGGAAATGGGTGAAATAGTATTTTTCTGAAAAATGATTAGTTGAAAAAGAATGAAAATTTTTCGATTTACGTGTAATATTATTTATGAAAGATTGTGTGGTTGAAAATAGAAGAGTGAAGAATGAAATGTAATGGAATAAAAATTAATGGAGGTCAAATGGAGGCTACGACTTCGTTTGAAGAGTGAAAGTACAATTTTCAATTAAAATATAAATAAAAATTAATCACAATTGATGAAGTGAGCCAACACTCGCTCTGGCCTCGCCCCATATACGATTGTGAGTTGGCTCGTGTGGTTTAACGTTCAATCAACTCAAAATGTAGTAACACTTAAACTCAAACCCCAAAACCCAAATCTTTCCAAACCTAATCTAACCCAAATCCAAACTTAAGAACCCAAATATCTATAACTCAGTCCAAAGTCAAATCAAAACCCACATACCAGAGGATTAAACCCAACCCCGACTCAAATTCAGAACCCAAATCTCTCCAAACTCAAATCTAATCCATGACAAATCAAATCAAGCCCAACCCAATCAAACTAAAGAACCTAAAATTCTCCAAACCCAAATTATTTATTATTAAAAGCCCGTTTGTTACTCATTTTTTTCAAAATGTATTTTTTTCTCTTCTTTTTAATCACACATTCTTTATTAAAATAATATTACACGTAAATCAAAAACTTTTTCTCATTTTTTAACCACACATTTCCCATCATTTTACTATTCTAAAATACATTTTTACATGAAAATGAATCTCAAACACCCTCTAACATACCCCATTCCAACCCCGTTTAGAAATCGACACCGATTAATTAGGTGCGATTTATTTATGAAAGCTGATAAAGGAAAATTATTTATCTAAGTAGAAATCAAGTTCGAAGATTCTTGTAGCAAAGAGCTAGATCCTAAAAATATTATTTTACAAACTAATCCCAAACTTAAATTCAAGAGTGAATAAATGCTCTCGTCTTTCAATTTTCTATCCATTTTTTATTTTATTTTTTCAAAATTTTAATGGACCTAATTTTTCCATGGAAATTGATATATAAGCACGAATCGAAAGGACTCCAAAAAATTATCCAATACAAATTGAGCAATCTACGTCTTTAACAGTCTTATCCAACATTTTAAAAAAGTGAACCCGTGGTTACATTGCATTTTTTCTTATTGAGATAGATAATATTTCAAATATCAAGCCAAAGATTGTTATGGACTATGATTGATTGATAATAATTTAAAACTCATTTCTTAAATGAAATTAAATCTAATAGATTCATATTGAATATTGGGAAAATTACATCAAATCCTAAAGTTTTTTCAAAAATTAGATATCAATAATTTTTTTCTTTTTAAAAAAAATCAAAAGTCAGGTATATTCAAATACACCCCACCCAACCCATTTCTTCCCTCACAAAAAATCATTCATTCCAATTTCTCACCGCACTGCCACATTTTCTTTATGCTTCGCATAGCTAGAACGCGTCACCCATTCACAACCACGACAATAGTGGACGAAAGAAGCCTCTACAACAGTTGAACGTCAAGATCAATGAGGCATATAGTTTGTGTGAAACCTGCAAGTGTACGAAATCGTTGACAAGTAGTGGATTTGAGTGAGTTGAGAGTATCGTCCCACATGGAATATATTCAATTCGAGTTTACTAGTTTTGTATGGAAGTTGAATTACGTAAACAAGCGGGCTTCATCTGCCTATCCCCAAGATCATAATAATTGATTTTTCCCCAAAATATCTTCTCATTAGGAGGTGCTTCTACTTCTCTCCCTATTGTGTTGTTGTTGCCAATTGGCTGAATGCAGGGATGATTAATTATTGTAGTTTGATGGTGTATTTGAGGTAAAGATAGTGGTGATAGTATGTTAATAGTAAAGGTAGTGGGACATGTCGACGATTGTGGATTGGAATGGGATGTGAATGGATGAAGAGCCTGTCAATGCTGTCTACTTTCATTCCAGATCTGAATCGATGTTGGAGGTCGACGTGGATTTGAGGTGGTGATAGTGATGGATTTAAGGTGAATATGATGATTGGTTGTGAATTTGAGGTAACGACGATGATTTAGGTCGTGTTGGTGATGGTAGAGTATGGTGGGTAGGAGTGAGGTGGGGTGAGCTGAAAGGTGATCGTGATCATTTAATTGAGTAATTTGTAATTATTAAATAATTTAGAAATAAAAATTGAGTTACAAATTGTAATCCGTAAATTGTGTTATTGTGAATGTGACTTTGTTTGATTTGTGATTAGTACGTGACAATGATCATAAATTATGTGTTATCATGAGCGTGATTTGTTTAATTATTATAGGTCACAATAATTTATCGGTATCACAAAATATGATCTCCTAATTTTTTAATTTTTTTCTCAAATTAATTATTTCTAAAATTGTATATTTTGAAATATTTGTTGTAGGATTGGATATGGTCCAGTTCGGTTTGGTTCTAACAAGAATCAAATTGGATTCAAAATTTTAGAATATTTAGTAAGTGGAACTATAAGATCCAAATTTAGTTATGGAATCGTTTAGGTTCAGTTCCATTCGTTTAGTTCGGTTCGGTTCAATTCTGTTCCTGGGTTCTATACTATGATTAAATTTTTTAATATTTACAAAACTATATTAATTCAACTAATGACATATTCAATCGTAAATTTTATAAAATAACGTAATTCAATTTTATGTGTTTTTTGCTTCTCTCTTTATTGAATTATTTATAGATTTGATTGTTAAAATTATATGAAAAAGGAAAATAGTGAGTTCACAATAATTAAGAAAGGTGTTGTCGAGTTTCATTTCGATTTCTCCAGAACGTTAGAAACTGCACTATGGTAGAATAACAGATTTGGGTAGAATTTAGATCAATTTAATTAAGTTGGCTTGGACTGAAAATTAGAAATAGGAAATCATTTTTTGGGTTTGAGCTAAATTAACAAGTTAACAAATTTATTTAGTAAAAAAGTAATTTGACTTATTTAAAATAAATTAACTAAAAAATCAGAGAAATTCGATTCTTATTCTGTTCTTAATCTAGAACCGAGGTTCGAACCAAACCCGTTGATTCTCGATTTAAATACTCATTTGAGTATTTAATTTAAGGAGAATCGTTCGATTCGATTTAGCTCTATTCGGGTTCGATTCGGTTCAAGAGTTTTATCTGATCCCAATTTATAGTTATGTGTAACATTTTGTACTAATTTAAATGTCAATTGCTGTATAAGTCTAAATTGCAGCAATAAAATTGTTTTATTGCTTGTCTTTTGTGTTTTAAGTAAACATCATTTTCATTGTAATCAGTGTACCAACCTTAAATCCAGGTATAATCATGCTGGGGTCCTCAATCTATTGGAAATATAGCCAGTACGTCCCTAATCTATTTTTTAACTGCTTCAGTCCTCACCATTTCATTTTTGTAATACTTTAGTCCTTAGTGGATAACCTTACATTCTTTTTTTCAATTAAAATGCCATTTTTTCCTTAAAGAAGACCACTTTATTCTTTATCTTGAATTTAATTAATAATAAGATAAAAATAAAAATAAAAATGTATTTACAAGAGATTGCCCTCCGCTACACAATTAAAACCTAATTTGTTAGCTCATAAGTGTATCAACTTTAGTGCATGTTTGGAGAAATGAGAAGCAGATAAGTAAGTAATATTTGTGAATTAATCAAAATATGTGGATAAAAAAAATTAATTGTTTAAATTAGGAGCCAAACATAGGCTTATTAATGTAGTAGTATGCATTTTTGATTAGTCGCTTCTATACTATACTACATCTTCAATCTCACAATTGAAATTAAAAGTTGTCCTTCTGAACCTTCCAAATGATGGTGTTATATCATTTTTTTTTTAATTTATTGTTTAAGTAAAGAATCAAAGATAATGGTAAAATTGTCTTTCTAATAAGATTTTTCTGTTAAATTAAAGAAAAAAGGTGACATTGTTCCATAGAAATCCGAGTGCTACAAAAATTAAAGATAGGGAGACTATGGTCATCAGAGGAATATAGATTGATGACCTAATTGCTACAGTGCCAATAGATTGGAGATCTTATCTCCAATTTCCATAAAATCAATTGTCGAAAAAAGGGGGAAAAACCTAAAAAATAATTGGTGGGTCCATTCCAGTGAAAATGAGTAAATGCGCCCAATTAATTTTCATTATATTACATTTTATTTTTTCTTTCCAATTTTCAACCATACAATCTTTCATAAAATAATATTACACGTAAATAAAAATTTTTTTCTTTTTTTTCAACCATTCATTTTTCAAAAAAATACTATTCCACCAATTTTCATTCTACAAAATGGGGGTCAAACGTGGGCTTAGACCCCCGACAATCCCAGTCTAAATAGCGTTAATGTGACATTAAATGACAAATGAAATTAAATAAATTATTTAATTTTATATTTCATTCAATTTATTATTTAGTTCACTTAAATTGAGATTGTAATTCCAATGACAGTGGGGTTACTTAGCATTATTCAATGAAAATTCATCATATTCAAAGGCAAAAAATGCCATACAAAAATGCCGGGAAAAATGATATTGTTCCAACATCAGGTGGCTCCCACTGCTGGCTCCTGATGCCGGCGCGTGTATAATCAAATATGCAACCGTGTCAACAACAGGAGACATTTTTACTATAAAACAATTTTGATTGAATACCTCGAAATCTCGAAAACGAATCCATAACAATTTTGAGTTTCGGCCAACTCCCCACCTAACAAAACCCGGAAAAATATTCAAATTTCCTGATTTTATTTTATTTTTTCTTGATTTTAACGAAGATTTTAAGGTTATGGTGAAGTGATTATGGGTTCAAGAAAGAATTGTTGTAGTAGTATTAATTATGATTACTCTTTCAAGGTATTGTTGATTGGTGACTCTGGTGTAGGAAAAAGCAGTCTTCTTCTTAGTTTCATTTCAAACTGTCAGCAGTTTCCTCAGAATCTCTCCCCGACAATTGGTATACTCTCTCTCATCATTTTTTGAGGTTTGTGTGTGTGTGTGAGTGTTGGGTTGTATCTTCTGGTCCCTTTCGATGGGATTCCCAATTGCTGTTGGGCTCTTTAGAGCAGGTTTGGCTAATCTTTTATGTAGCTTTTTTGCTAACTTAAACATGCTTATTTTGAGTTGATCTGCTTTTCATTTACTTTTTATATGTTTTTACTATGTTTTACTCCTGCCATTTGAAGGCGAGTTTTGTTATTTGTACCCGGAGTGTTGCCTGATGTGAGTGAGGGGATCGGGCCCATACATTTATTGGCGTGTGCCCCGACCCCATGTAGACTCCGGGTACCTGTAGCAAAACTCTTCTCGTATCAATTCAATAGGCATACCATACTCTTTAACATTTTTGAGTTGGTTGGCTGTCACACGCAAATTATTTGTAGCTATATTGTCGTTCTAATGAAAATGGTTTTCAAAATTGTTGTATTTGATAAAACTTCTTCACATTTAAGTATTTTTTCTCCCTCAAAAGAACTAAATAGATTGATAAAACATTATGCTGCGAAACTGTAATTTTTGATAGTTATCGATTTGTGACATTTGATCTTGATCGGAGGAGCATGTTGCGAATTAATTCTGCACACTTTGATCTTTGAGGTTGATTTTCCTATGTCCAGGAGTGGACTTCAAGATAAAACTGTTAACAGTTGGTGGAAAAAGACTGAAGCTGACCATTTGGGATACAGGTAACTGAGATATGAAGTTAATATCAAAAAGAAGTACAGGTGAAATTTCTTGTTTGCACTACAAATAATCGCATTCAAAAATTCATGTTCGTCAACTTGGAGTTGAATTTACCGAACTGGTATTCATTTCCAATACAACGGAATCATTTCCGCATCTAATCCCAACTCCATGCTGTCAAAAAGTTACATATTGACTTGTATAAGTTTATCACAATGCAGCGGGGCAAGAAAGGTTTGGAACGTTAATGAGTTCATACTATAGAGGCGCACATGGAATCATTTTAGGTATGCTATGTCGTTTATTGCTTTACTAGATAAACTTAGTTCCGGAGGTGATATATTGAAGTTTGCTTTAGTCGAGTTCCATCTATGAGGTGTATTATCTTGGAAAAACCATTAAAGGCGTTTTCACAATTGTAATTCTATTACAGGACGTTTCCTCTTAGCAGAGGTGGACACTCTTGTTTTGGAATTGGGCTTTAGTCCAGCCTAAAGTTTAGGCCATTTTTTTCCCCTTTAAAAGGATTTAGTCGGCTCCAAAAGTCTATGTCCACCCGAGCTCTAAATTTTAGCCTACTCTTAAATTTAGTTCTAATTCCACCCCTGCTTGTTAGTTACATCTCTTCTAATGTTTCCCCAATCTAGTTATTTTTTCTCTGAAACCATACAATTTGAAATGATAAAGTAGAAGGTTTTCGTCCTTCTTGTATTTTCCTTTGGTAGTACTTTACTGCCATTATTGATCGTGTCCGATTGTTGAGTGTTCTCGTCATGAGATTTACCAACATGGTCATATCTTTATAGTATGTTGTATTGTGTTGGTCTTTACAAGTTGAAGTAACTACTGGATTATTCCATAGTTTATGACGTAACAAGACGAGAGACGTTTACAAATCTATTGGAGATATGGGCCAAGGAACTAGAGCTTTACTCAACAAATCCCGATTGTATCAAGATACTAGTTGGGAACAAAGTTGATAAGGTAAGTTGCGTGACTATCTTATGGTGCATGTTTGTTACATATGATTTAACAAATTTTTATCTTTTGTCAGCCTATTCACCCAAGTTCAATATAATACACTTTGTTCATCAGCACCATCAGTGTCACCCCCCTCAATCACATGCACAATAACTGTGAAAATGGATCTGTCATCGGTTTCCTCTGATATTTTCTATCACCTACTTGTTTCTTCCTTTCTTTTCTGTTTTTGCAAAGGGAGTATGTCTTTTTATACTTTGAATGCATGAAAAAGTAAACTTTTGAAACTCCATAAACACACTTTTGACTTATTAGAAGCTTGTGTATAAGTCAACATTTGTTTTTCAGTTTTCATAACCTTTAAAGAAACAGTATATAATTCTATTTTCAGGATAGTGTGAGGGCAGTTACTGTGGAGGAGGGGATGGATCTTGCACAGAAGCACAAGTGTTTATTTCTCGAATGCAGTGCTAAAACTAGAGAAAATGTGCAGCAGTGCTTTAAAGAGCTAACAATGAAGGTATACCTGAAAAGGCACACTTCTGTTGATATACCTTAATATTAACATTAATAAGAGGTAGAATATGCATTTTGTACCTGGTTTCTCAAGATTGTTCCTTTTTTTTCCCTGTCATTCGGTCTATCCATGAAGCATGAAGTACACAGCTGTCTTGAATATAGTTAAGTGAAAAAAATTACGATGGCTTTTGTTTCATTCGGAAACAATTAGTTGAACCATTCTTCTTGGACAACCCCCTGGTTGTCCAGGGGGTTATGTGGTGCCCCCGCGCGCAGGCACCCCCCAAGTTGTCCAAGAAGTTTAAGCCCAATTAGTTAGAAGGAGAATAGAGGGAACACTTATACTAGGAAGAAACACGGTGCAACTTCATAAGCCACTTTCTTCCTTTCCCCTCGAACTGGAAGGACTTTCTAAATTATGTGTTGAATGTCAGTAATATGAAGAAATAGGTAGATTATGGTATGTAAACGTTATTATTTGATGCGTTCACATCTCATCCCAAGGACGTGAGCCTAGCATCAGCAAGCAGGTGTGGAGCATGCATTATCAGATTTCTGGCCTTTTTTTCGTATTTGATATGATCAAATGACTTAGCACTTCAAAAGTTAATAGATTCATCAAGCTTCAGTTTTGTACTGTGTGGAACCTAATCATACTATACACTTAACCCCCACAACCTCAGATCAAACTTCGTAGTAAGGCAACTTTTTGAGCATGTTAGAGGTACAAGAAACACTTTGTACTCTTCTTCTCCATTATAGTGAAAATCCAAAGGGGGAAGTGGATTTAGCTTTCCAAATTGAGTGTCAATCACTATAAATTTGCATGTTTGTTTTGCTTATTTTCGCTAGCATTTTGTTTATTATTGCTCTCGTAAGAAGGGATTATGGCTTAATTCCTAACATTTAATCTAACGCCAAACTTTCCTTTGCTTAGTATGTAATCTCTGTTCCATTACAGATCCTGGAAATACCTAGTCTATTGGAGAAAGGGTCTACGCCCGTGAAGAACCAAATTTTGAAACAGAAACAAGTTCGTCACTCCCAGCATAACGATAATTGCTGTTCCTAGTCGAAATACTTGGAGAAACAAAATCTGGAAATGCAGTTGAGAATGGGGAAAAAAGGAACGCCTAAGCAGGGCATCCTTAGGAAGACACTTGTCATACCTCACCATAGGATCGATTTCAACAAGGATTCCAGTCGTGGAATTTTTTTCCTTTTTCTTTTTAATGTAAATTTGGACGGTTTCGTTTCTTCCATTCTTTTAATCTTTTACATAATAAATGATATATATGTATTAAAATCTTTGCTCATGAGAAGAATATACAGACTCTACATACCTTAACACTTTTGTAAATTTACACACATGAAACAGATTATGGTCATACGAGGACAGTGGATTTCGAATAACGTTGTCTCTGGCTATGTTACATCTGTATTATCTTTCTGCTATCTGAGTTCGTCGAGCCAAAAGCTTAAGTCCCCGTTTGGTAGATATTAAAATTAGATTTTTAGCAGATTTTGATAAAAGTTATGGAATTTGCATTTGGATCAACCACCTAGTCACATTTCAAGAGTAGACAAATATAAGTTTCTTTGAGATATTAACAAAGCCACAGTTGGCTTGCAGATATTGGGTTTTCAAGGATTCCTATGATTTTTGACTTGTAGTCAATGTTGGGAACTTAGTCTTATTCCGTATTCGTTCTTCGATCCTCTTTTAGAGAATTCAACCAGAAGAGTAGCGATAAATAACTGTAGCGAAGACACAGTACTTAATAAAAAATCCTCACAAAAACGGCCAAATACTTATAATTCCTCTGCCGGCATGTGGCTGCTTATGCCACACTATTCCCATTTGGGTTGAACTTTTCAGACCATCTACTTTGGAAACTTAGTTTGAACTTTCTTCACAAAAAGGCCAGCCTGCATTAAACAAGTTTGAGAATATATTTAAATCTTCTTGCCCAAGACAGGAAGAGCCTTATTGTGTATTTATATCTACCTTGTTACGGCTTCTCTTCAATCCCGATCCTTCCTCGACCCTTGCAATGGCTTATTCTAGTCTTTGCAGAAGGCTCATTATTGCATGCTCAATATTGCTGGCAATTCTTGTTTCTGGAGTTAGTTGTGTTGACATTTTCCATGAGTGGATTGTCTCAGCTGATAACACTATCAACCTTGTCTCAGTTTCTCAACCTGTATGACTTTTTCAGTATATCTTCAAATGAATTGATTGAGCTCTAAAAGAGAATTTATATAGTCGACCCCAAATTTATTTTATATATGCACCAACTGTATGTAACTGTTTATGGCAGGTTATTACAATCAATGGAATGTTTCCGGGGCCACTCATCAATGCCACAACCAATGATGTTGTTCATGTCAATGTGTTTAATAATCTGGATGAACCTTTACTTATTACATGGTAAGGGTAGAAGAATAAAACTGGGATTGACTCTGTCGTGTTTGATATGATGGATTACACATAAGCATACTATTAAAATTTTGTTCGTTTTGATGTCTAATCGAGTTGAGTACCGTACCTGCCAATTTTCAGGAATGGAATACAACAGAGGCTAAATTCATGGCAGGATGGAGTTTCCGGCACAAACTGTCCTATTGAAGCCGGGAGTAACTGGACTTATGTATTTCAAACCAAAGATCAGATGGGCACCTTTACATACTTCCCCTCTATTAATTTCCACAAGGTTGCTGGAGGATATGGACCTATTCGAGTTAACAATAGGAATGTTATTCTCGTGCCTTTTGCTAAACCAGAAGCCGAATTTGATCTTCTTATTGGTGACTGGTTTGAAGCTGATTACAAGGTAAATCATCATCATTCACTCATTAGTCAAAAATTTGCTAAATTTGATGGAATTTCAATGTTGAAATTTTTGTTTCTGATAAACAGGAAATTAGGTCACTAGTTCAAGAGAGTTGGGGTATTCCTGATGTGATGCTGATGAATGGTAAAGCGCCTTACGGATATTCAAATGCCACGGACTATGAATCTTTTACTGTCACGAAAGGTAAGAAAAAGTGGTTACTCTGTTCTTGATGCTGATTTATATGTAAATTATGAGTGGAATAGTTTCTTGAAACTACAATTTGTCATCCCTCAACTCAACTGGACTATGGGGTGCTGTTTCTAACCGGTATTAATACGAGTTTATGTGCAAATGTTGATGATATGTGCAGGGAAGACTTATCGAATTAGAGTTTCAAATGTCGGAAGTGTATTCAGTTTCAACTTCAGAATTCAAAATCACAAGATGGTGCTAGTTGAAACAGAAGGGTCATACACCAACCAGATCATATTGGATTCTCTTGACGTGCATGTTGGACAGTCCTATTCTGTTCTTGTTACTGCAAATCAAGATGAAGCCGATTATTACATGGTCGCTAGTCCAAAATTATTCGACACCAATTTCAGCAATACCCCCTATCTCGTCGGAAATGGGGTATTACACTATGCCAACTCCGTTGGAACAGGCAGGGCGCCTGTTCCAAATGGACCTGATCCATTCGACATAGAGTTTTCCATAAATCAGGCTAAATCTGTCAGGTCAGGAATTTGTATTAGAAAATTTTTGATATATAACTTGTTTCAAACGCGTCGTGAATGATTATAACTTTTTACCTGTGTAACTAAGATACTAGCATTTTTTTTGTTGTGAAAATAGATGGAACTTGACTACCGGTGCTGCAAGGCCTAATCCACAAGGCACGTTCAACGTATCGAACATTACCTTAACACAGAGCTTTATCCTTCACGGATCAAAAGCTGAAATTAATGGTACGCTGCGCTATGTAGTCAACAATGTGTCGTATTTGACTCTAGATACGGCATTAAAACTGGCTGACTACTTCAGAAATGGTTCTGGTGTGTATGAACTCGATGCATTTCCAGTCCGTTCTGTCAACGATGCTGCTGCATATGGAACTTCTGTTGTAACGGGAGTTCACAAAGGATGGCTCGAAATTGTGTTCAATAATGGTCATGAAGTCATGGACTCTTGGCATTTGGATGGCTTTGGATTTTATGTTGTAGGGTAAGGTTTCGGTCAGATCTACTTATTTTTGCTCATATTATCTTAATTTATTCAATTATCTTGCATCATTTTACAAGTTCTCATAGCATTTTCGAAAAATAAGTTAAAATCTTATCCATGATATTGTCGGTTTCTATCCAATACTACGTACCAAACATGCACTAATTGTGTAGCTGTCGTATATTATTAGATTTGGCGAGGGAGAATGGACACCAGAATCACGTAATACTTACAACCTCTATGATCCAGTTGTTCGTTCGACAGTTCAAGTTTATCCTGGCAGATGGACCGCTGTGTATGCATTCCTCGACAATCCCGGTATGTGGAATTTGAGATCTCAAAATTTACAGCACTGGTACTTGGGACAAGAACTATATGTACGAATTCATGATGACGACCCCAACCCTGCCAAGGAGCGTCCTCCGCCTGAAAATCTCCTCTTATGTGGTTAGTACCGAATATATGTATATGTCTATGCATGTGCGAATGCGAGTATGCATAAACTACTCGAATAACTTAGGTATATTTCTTGTACCATTACAGGAATTTTTGATGAATCTCCTTCCCCATCTGGTGCACCTGCTCCACAGCCGAGATGGTGACGAACTCATTGGATTTCTTGACTTTCTGATGGCTGATATTGATCGGAATGATTTCGAATATAGCATTGATCTGAATTGCCAAAGTGAAGAATCATTTTTTTTCCCTCGTGAATTCACATATAGAATAACGTAATTGTCTATAGAATAACGTAATTGTCTAGCTCTGCCTTACAAATTTGTTATTTGAAGTAGATGTTAAATATGTTGGGACTATTGACATTTATAATTTGAATGTTCGATATAATTGGTCATGGAAGGAATATTTTGCGATCTTCACAATATTTCCAAGATCTTGTGTAATTACATCTATAATTTTATGTTCATATTCACTTTGTAGGACTTTATAATTGAAAGGGTAGGTAGTCAATAATTTAACGATTGACTTGGTCCCCTAGTATTTTGATTAGATCGATAACCAATTTGAATCCGATAATTGTTCACTTATTTTATTTGTGTTGGAAATTTATTTTGGTAACTTTTTGATCAATTATTTAAGTTTGGCCCGTTATTTGATTACGAGATTCTAAAGTAGTTGATGGAAACCAATTTTGGTTGAATGAGATACTAAGACCAAAAGCAATATGATTATTACATGAAAGTCATTGGAATTTGAAATTAACACGATGGAACTTCAATTAACCATGCTGTGATCCGTGATGGAATATTGTAGAATATGTTCGACTATAAGGTAATGTTTTGAAATTGTTCTGTTTCTATCTAGCGCCTCTTAAAATCGAGACATAATCTAATAGTTATGTCCTTTTTATCGATTGTGTCTTGAACTTTTTAGAAATCTATAATAGGTCCTCATATTTCGTAGAAATATTCAATTTGTTATTCCAGCATTATGAAATTTCTAACTTTTTACTAATAATATTTTTTTTTCCCAAATTTTCGAAGTCCATTTTTCATCTTAAAGAGAGTTACAAAATATTAGGAGGTTTATTATTTTTGAAATTGTTAGCGTTGCTATCATGAGAAGTTGATCGTTGTATATTGGGAGATGTGTGCTGAAAAATCGTAAGTATCCATACAAGACAATTTCATCCGAAGAAGAAAAAGTCAAACTCTATTCTTGACCTAATTCATTTATATATCTGCATTTCTTTTTTCATATGTAGTAAATCGCCGTGCTGTCCAAATTTTTGGCACTTTAAAAGTGAGTAAAAGGAGAATGTTATTTGTGTTAATTTATCCAATTGACTTTGCTATACGTACGTTGGCGTGTACATAAGGGTGTCCATAATGGACACCCGTTGCCTCCTTATTGGAGGGGGCGTTTGGCCCACCAGCACCCCCTCCAATAGGAGGGCGTCGGGTGTCCATAATGGACAACTTTATGTACACGCCAATGTACAACAAGAAAAATCCTTTATCTAATAATCTTAAGATAATTTTATATTTTCAATTTATATTCTGCTTTTGTGCATGAGTCATTTTTAAAATTTTGTTTAAAATAAGTTCTTAATTAAACATATGACAGTATACATGCATTCATAATTTGACTTATTTAGCCCCTGTTTGAGCCCCATTTTTCCACTAAAATGCATTATTTAACGGTGATTTGACACTATTTCAACCACACATTCTTCAATAAAATAATATTATATGCAAATCAAAATTTTTTCCTTATTTTTTAACCACACATTTTCCATCAATACACTATTCAAAATTTCATTTTCTCCTCTAAAATGGGCCTCAAACAAGGACTTAATTTATCATCGTACCATAAGTTTGGGAAGTGCATAATTTCGTCACAATCTCGAAAATATATCTAAAAGCATCGTTTACTATCCTTGAAAAATCCAAATCCATATTGTTTAAATCGTTGTCAATTAAATGCTAAATTGAATTTTTGTGCATTTTCTCTACATGGCCGGCGCGTATAGAGCACGCTCCTTGGCTGCGTGTGGCCTTAGTTTCATAGGCTGATTTGAAGTGTGCATGGATTTACGGTACACCTCAGTTTAGCAACATACATATTTCTATCAGTTGGACCCTCCCCACCTCTCTTTCACTTTCTATGTTCCTTCTTTCTATCTGCAATTTCATTCTCTATCTTTATCGGTCTATGTGGCGGTGGTGGTGGTGGAAGGAGGTGAAATATGGAGGCTCCGGTGGACGTGGCTGCAGGTCCTTGTAAAGACCTCACCCACATCGTCAAGGGCGTACGTACCAAGAGACAGAGGCCTCAATCCCCCATTCCTTCCATCATAAGAGGCGGCGGAGATGCTCATTGCGACACCATTCTCGGCCACAGTGTTCGCGGCTCCGGCTCGTCCACCTACCTGGAGAGCATAAGCATTACGTCCGAAGATGAAGAAACTGCCGAATGCTTAATCCTCTTAGCTCAAGGTCATCGTTTTCCACCGAAAAGCAAGACTGATCATGATCAAGATTATAAATTCAACAGCAAAAAATATATAGAAACATCATCAACTGAAGGAAACAAGGCAGGGATTTTTGTATATGAATGCAAAACTTGCAGCAGAACCTTTCCGTCATTTCAAGCACTTGGTGGCCACAGGGCCAGCCATAAGAAACCTAAAAATATGGCCAACAAAGCATTTTTCCTATCTGATTCTGAAGATGATTTTTCGTTCACTATGCATAAAAATGACACCAAAATATCTTCATCTCCTCCTCTTCAACCTGTTAACAACAAGACGAATTCGTCTTTTCATTCTATTAAGGTTCATGAATGCTCTTATTGTGGGGCTGAGTTCACTTCCGGACAGGCTTTGGGAGGCCACATGCGGCGGCACCGGGGAGGTGGAGGCGGCGGCGGAGGCCCTGCAGTTGCCGCAGCCAACACAACCTTGTCTTTGAGCCCAGTTGCTGCGACCAACACAACCTTGTCTTTGAGTACTCCTATGAGCCAATCTTCATTTGATTATTACAATCAAGAATATGAGGATTCGAAGAAGACAACAAGAAATTCTTTGACTTTGGATCTTAATCTTCCGGCCCCAGAAGATGAGCATAAACAACAGCAACAAAAAGAAGCTGAATTTGTTTTTTCTACCAACTCAGCATTGGTTGACTGTCATTATTGAGAAGTTTCACTTCTTCTTTATACATTGATCTACGGATTAAACATTAATTATTCAGTTTTCTTTTTATATTTATTTGGAAGTGATTCTTTAATTGATTTTTTAATATTTTTATAATTTGACACTTAAAGTACATTGATTCGTTAATTTTTTGTTGCTTCTTCTTGTTGGTTTAATTTATAGTAGGAAGGAAATAAAAATAAAACTTCCTCTATTCTTTTGAATGTTACACATGCTGATAATTTTTATTAGTGTTAGGTGGCCATATATAATATTTTTCACCTACGCAAAATATACTAAAAAATCAATTTAAGGTAAAAAAAATAATATTAGTATAATCAGTTCCATACATCCTAATTCATATTGTGCATGTAATTAGTAAAACAATGAATGTAAGTGTAACAAATACATTTGTTGTTACGACTTTTCTTCAAGAAATTAAACTATAGGTAGTAATTGTTCTTGAAATTAACCTATAGAGAGTAAAAATTATCAAAATCACAAAAGTATACCATCAAGAATGACTACACATGCTAAGGAAAAAAAGTTAAAAGGAATGTTATAGCTCACTAGAGAATAAAAATAATAACGCGTTCCAAACTGAAATAAACAATGAAAGTGACTAGAGATTTAGATGACAAAATTGAAAAGAGATTTTTAACGTTTCACTTGTGTTACTTTTTACTTGAAAAATAACTAGAATGTTCTAGCTCCCTGGAGGAAAAAAATAATAACGTGTTCTAAATTGAAATAAACAACGAAAGTGACTAGAGATTTAGATGGCAAAATTGAAAAGAGATTTTTAACTTTTCACTTGTGTTATGTGTAGGGGTGGAATCACGATTGAATTTTAGAATGGACTAATTTTTCATAGTTGGGCATAGGCTCTTGAGGCGGGCTGATTTATTTATGCCAATTTTATTAAGAAAAAAATGTTGGACCAATTTTATGAAGTCAAATGAAAGAGAGATTGGGCCAAAACTTGACGGTATACTAGGGATGGTAATAGAGTGGAGCCGAGCAACCATTCATGTCATGTTCCTCTCTGTCCAAGATTTTCGGGAGGCAGGATTGACACGGGTGGGAATTATGTCTAATTATTTGTTATTAGACAAGATTTAAATTTTAAAAAATAAAAAAACAAACAAAATAAAAAGATTCACGACATGTGTTGACCCCAAAAAATATTGCCAACAAATGTCGGATCCACCCGCGCACACGTGAGTGAAAGTCCAATACGTTAAGACACGTGGACGGTCTAAAATAGACAGATCAAGGGCGTGGGAGTAGCTCAACGGCGCGGGACGAGAAATTTTGAAATCTGGCGAGATGTTCGTAAATCGATTGTATAATAATTACCAATCGATGTTTGTGTATGAACTCGTTTGTGTTGAAAGATAATAAGAAAGAGAGAGTTGAGTAAAGTATAGTTTTTTGTATTGATTCTTGCATTAGCCTTTGTATGGGGTACATGGGGGAGTATTTATAGTGTCAGAAGTTAGATCGTGACATTTGGTTCGGGGAACACGTGGCCTCATCCGGTTAATTTACATGTCAAATTGTAGGCATCAACTGCACCTATCCTGCTATACATTTATTGATTGACAGAGCCCCCTCTACTAGTGATAAGACTTAACATTTACACTCATGACAAATATCCTATCAATTATTCAAGTAAGATCTTTGTGTAGGGGATCTCTTGGGAGAAGTGTCTATGGAAGATGCTGCTTTGTGATTCGGAAACTGCTACCTCGGCTACAGCGTCCACCTTCAAAGGGCCTCGACATATGGGCTTCGGGAGCTCCTTAAGAGGCAATGATAGATGAGCTTCGGTATATATGGGCCTGGGCTTCTGTGAACCTTGATTTGTGGGCTTCGACTATGCAAATCACTTCGACTTGAGTGCCATGTGGTTCAGCATGAGTTGGCTGTGGGCCCCAGTGGGTTGTCCAAGTGTGCAAACACGTAACAATAGTCCCCCAAATCCAAGTATACTCATTTATCTAATGCGAGGACTTTGATGAAGTAAAGCCAGCTAGTTAAGTTGAAAGAAATTTTTGTACCCCAAATAATAGTCCCCCAAGTCAAAGTATAGATATTTATATCATCGTTGGAGTTATAAATGTGCTGTTGTGGAAGAATGATAAAGTCGAGGTGGTTTGAAAAACCAAACCTGCGAGGCTTGTGGAGGTTGAATTCTGATGAGAAAGTCGAGGTGGTTGAGAAACTGAACCTGCAAGGCTTGATGGCTGAATTGTGATGAGGGAGGAAGCCAAGGTGGTTGGAAAATGGAACCTGCGATGCTTGATGGCTGATTTCTGATGAGGAAGTCGAGGTGGTTGGGAAATCGAACCTGCGAGGCTTGATGGCTGAATTGTGATGAGGAAGCCGAGGTGGTTAGGAAAATCGGACCTGCGAGGCTTGATGACTAATTTCTGATGAGAAAGTTGAGGTGATTGGAAAATCGAACTTGCGAGGCTTGATGACTGATTTTTGATGAGGAAGTCGAGGTGGTTGGGAAATCGAACCTGCGAGGCTTGTGGAAGCTGAATTCTGAGGCTTATTGGTAATGATTGTTCCTCGGCAATTGTGCCAATGATTTGATGTTTTACGCATATTTTCCAGGAAAGGTGGCTGGACTATTCAACTTCCATGGAGTCTGCTACTGTCGAATTAATGTCATAATTATGAGCACGGCTGGAGATTCTAGAAGCAAACGTGTTTGGGGAGGTGCGTGGATGTCAAGCTTGAATCTGAAGCGTAGGTTTGAAAAATCGTTTGAATTCTACGCCTCAGATTTGATTTAGAATGAAGGGTCCAGATTCAATGGGCTTTGATTAGACGGCTGAGGTTCGTCCTGGCCCTTCATAAAAGGTGAGAGACTTCCATTTTTCTGGATTTTCAACCATTGAAATCTGATTTCTTCTTCAAAAGCTCAAGCTTTTCGGTGTCCAAACAATCGATCTTCTCATTTTTCGACATTACTCCGTTCGCGAAGTCATTTCCTATAGGTATTTTCATAGAAAATCCCTTGTATTGAGTTCATCCTTTTCTGATACAGAGTCCACCTCGGATAAGGAATTAGTAACTGTTGCGTCATTTGACGAGGGGGCGAGTCACAGAGGGGACCCCGAGGTCGAGCAATATGCTATGACCGAGGAGACAGTAGATTACAGTGAGGAGTGAGGGGGGTCCAGAGTGCCTTCAAATATGGCCTTGAAGAGGCTGTGGGAGATCAGGGAGAGGTACTGAGTACCTCATTATGTCGAAATGTTGGTGCCCGAGGCTCATGAGCACGCTTGATATCCGAGGCCTGGATGCGTGGCGATGAGTGAATATCTGTTTAAGGCAGGTATGCGTCTTCCTTTGTATCCCTTCTTTAGGGCGGTGCTAAGGAACTTTATGTTGTCGTCGACCCAAGTTCTGCCAATTGGTCGGCTCGTACTTCCTGTGAAAAGAGGTGTCACTTGGGGAGGACATGCCTCTCCATGTATTCATGACCCTTTTTCAGCCCTGGATAATAGGAAAAGAGTCCAGGGGGTAGTATTACCTTACGCCTTAAGGGACTCACGCACCCTTTGTGGTGGGACTGCCTTCCTCCATTAAGGGATGGAAGGAGTCCTGGTTCTGGGTGCGGGGAAAATGGCAGACAGTGGAGGGGGACAAGGCCCTTTCTTGCACAGTGCCGACCCAGTACTACAAAGCTCGTGAGTCTCCCAGTCCCTGCTTGTACTTCTAAATTGAACACTTAGAAAATTTCTAACTGTTGGGGCTTCCATTGCAGATTGTAGTATGAGGTTCGAGCTCAGTAAAGAAGAGTTCGAGGTGATAGAGGACATCTACAAGAGGCTTCTGAAGAGTACCTAGCCCCAGACATGGCCTCTATCCTTAGGGCCATATCCAATGTGACGGCGAGGCCCCTAAAGTCGGGGTCAAGTGGTGCCAAGGAGGTCCGGGGGAGGGTGGAGCGCCTCTCCAAAGATAGCAGTTCCAGGGATGCTGAGGAGGGGACCCCCCAGAGGCCGGAGAGGGCCAAAGAGCTTCGGGGAAAGGAGACGGTCCTCGAGGAGCAGAAGAAGAGGAAGTTGGTGCACGTCACCAGCTCATCTGGGAAGTTCGGGACCTCTGCGTCCCATGAAGGAAAAGAAGCCCCTTAGCCGAAGCTACTGGAGGCCGCCTCAAAAGTGGTGAAGATTGAAATGGTGTGGCGCGCCGAGGCTGAGAAAGAGGCTACGAGGAGGGAAGCCGAAAAGGTAGTGGATGAAGCTACCAAGCAGAGGCCCGCAAGAGTGTAAGGGAAATCTCCGAACTTCCTTACCGAGAGGGAGGAGGTCCTGGCCCCGACTTTGGTGGAGGCTCTGCCAGTCGAGATCCAAAGCGCTATTGAGAGCTTCTACAAATTCTGGACGGATCGGTGGCAGTTGCACATCTCTTTCTGTGACGCGGTGGACTTGACAAGGGCCCTTGTTAGCCAAAGTGTAAGGACCTTTGGTCTCGCATTGGAGTGTAGGGAGGCCCTTACTGATTTTCAGACGAGGACCCAATCCTCAGAGAAGAAGGTGACCTCCCTTGCAGAGGAGCTGAAGAAGGCCAAGGCCGAGGTAGAGGAAGCGAGGGCCCAAAAAATCGAAGACGCGGCCAAGCTGGAGTCTGCTTTGGCTCAGATTGAGGCCTTGAAGAAAGAGATCTATGAGTCCCAGTGCGAGATGACTTCCCTTACCAAGAAAGTAGAGGTCTACAATGACCACCAAAAGGTGACCGCTGAGGCCTTGGAGAAGGCCAATCTGGAGCTGGCTGGGGACTAAGACACCTACAAGTTTTTGGAGGGCTAAATAAAGTGGCATGTGGATGAATTGGCCAAGGCAAAGGAGGAGGCCAATGTGGCGATGGAGGAGGCAGTCAAAAACTATATTGCCAACTTCCACAACACTGAGGAGTACAAGGGCTTCAGTATCTATTGGAAAAATTATGCTTATGCCGAAATGATGGAGAGGGTTGAGGAACTCTACCCAAATCATGACCTGTCATAGCTGAGGTCGGAGTTTGTGGATGAAGTGCCTC